TCGTTTCCAATTACGCAATAATTGCACTACGGTCATTGTCGATATCGTATCTTTTTTTTTCTTTGCTCGCTTATTTGCGAATCCCAAACGTTACGCTTCGCTAATGACGCCGGATATCGTGACAGAGTGGTCACGTGACGATTTTACACGCTGTAAAAGTTATATAATCGATCGAGAGAGAAACAGCGCCGGAATCGAAGCTTTAATTCAACGTCCGGTTGTAAATGTATGTACATCTGACGCTTGCGTGTCGGTCGGCAAGAAACACCGGCAAGAGAGGATATGGTAAGTGGGTCGATTTGTAACCCGATCAAAGGTAGGCGTGTACGATTTGTATCCGTGAGTTTGCCGGCCGAACGAGCACATTGAAACATCAGCAACGCATGCGGAAAAAAACGCCAATCGGCAAAATTCGATTAGACTAGTAACAGCAGACGAGGCGACGTATTTATAAGATCAATGCGAGAGGAAAAGTTATATTTTTTACATGCTCGAACTTTTCGAACTTTTTAAACAGTTTAATAACATGATTAGATAATTACAATTCTAACTCTTGTGAATTAATTCAAGTCTGCTGTTCAAACCCCTCATACGCGTGTTAGTTATGAGTGCATAATTCAAGCGAATAATGGTCGATAAGGGCGCGGAGCGTTTGTCACGCGAAACGTGCGTGACGTCAGTGTGGCGATTATCTGAAACCAACGTGCATTTCGTTATTACTGTGCCGAGATCTCGCCTCTGATACCTAATTATGTCGCTGGAAAATTAAAAAAGACTCCGGCTTAATTAATCAGTTTTGTTGATGATTGCAAAGTAATTATTGCGTGTATTGACTCTGATCCTTTTTTTATTCCAAATAATACACGTTGCATAAATATTCGTAGCACATGACACGACGAATCAGACGACAGATGTGTTTTTTAGACAACATTTGTAAACAACATGGGAATGTTCGGCAACAACCAAAAAGAAAGAAAGAAGAGGAGACCTTCGTGCCCGAATCGAACAAGGTCACGCAACAGGTTTTACAAGGGGGTAAAAATTGTGAAGCATGCGAGCTACTTAGAATCTTTCGAGTGCACATTCAAAACTATAAGTGGCTTTCTTCGCGTTTGCTTTATGTGTACGAATAAAGAGATCACACACAATGAATTTTGTCTGGATGCGTTACAAGATGCATCTTTTGATTGTGACCTTGTGTTTGTATTTTATCTTGTTTACCGAGCAATAAATCGCAAAGTTAATTAACGGATGCGCAGTTTCGAAGTACATATATTTGCCACATTGTTGCGCCGTTACTTTCGCAATGTTATATATACGACGGCCTCGTTTTTAACTCGCTGTAAGGACGAGCGCGTTGGGTCGCGTTTATTGTGTTGTTCAGTGTGTGTTGTTTGGTCAGGCGTGAGTTTTCTGAAATGATTTTCAAGACTCGTCCGCTCGTTTTTCTGATATACTATGCACGATCACGTTTCTCCGCTTCTTTAGAGATTCGGAACTCGTTCGTGAACCAGAATGCGTTCCGCATCCATTCGTACCTTTGGTCCTGGTCTCCAGGGTTCGCCGAGACAAAGGGAATGAATTCCTGCCGCGTTACCAACCAGTTTGTTGTCGATAAAACGTAAAACGACAAGAATGTATTTTGAGATAAGTCACAAGAGACCCGAAACACAAATTTTGTTCTTCTCTATTTTTCAGAATATTTTTTTCACTTTGACGTAAACAAACAAATTTACTTGTAAATTATTCCAAACTGTCTTTTTTTAACAAAGACTTTTCTGAGAAAACAAATAATGATAGAACTGACAAAGAGATAATGCTGCATGATAATATTTAAGATATACGAACGCATGATACGAGACGCGTTTCGTCAATTCCGATGTCGACGTAATGTACCGGATGAAGAATAATCATGATTCATCAGACTTGCTGTACTTGCTGTTTTGTTTGGATTGATGTTTATCTCACTTTTGTGAGAAATCTCTGGTGATATTATTGCCGTAACCCAACGAAATACTTTTAATTTTCAAGAAACAATACATATCAGTAGACATTTGTTCTTAGAAACTTACATTTTTTGTCAATTTACAAAAACACATGTATTTGCAAATCTAAAAAAACCAACGATACTTCGTCGCAAAAATGACATCCGTATGAAGAGAGGGCGTTTACGTGACCTAGAAAAAAAGTGCGCTGAAAATAGAAGCGAGATCCGCTTGACGCGGACCCTCCCCCCTCTTTAACAACAGGATGCGCTAATGCGAATAAGAAGGGAAACGGTGCATATGAACTACAAAGTGTCACGGACGCGTTGTGTACCGATGGAGTGTCACGGACACGTCACTTCCACCTCTGCTCTTACTTCCACGCACACTTCGAACGCAAACAAAAACCGAGAGACCGGAACTCGGAACTACGCTAGGCGCATGACAACGGTTAAGCGGAAGTGACACTAATCGTCGAAATCGACCCGATCGAGATGTACTTCACAGTCATGAAAGATGCTACTTTCTACTTTCGAGATCTCGAACGCGGAATCAACAATCTGATGGTTGCGAAGCAATCCGGTGAAAACCTGACAAATAAAAGATGAGAAATTACAAGAAAATACGATGCAATTACGTTTAAAAAGAGAGCGCGAAGAAAATTTCACAGAAATTCGCGTTGAATTAAAACATACGGAATATTTGTTTCCTGTGTGCGTGCTAACAGAGAAAATTTCTATGCACTTCGATATTCCGCGATGAAATGCACGCTGCGTCGCATTCAATGGCGCAGACTTTTGTGTTGTATTTTTGGATCAAGCGCGACCAACGTACGCGACCGGGAAATTGATGCGTATGTGCTATGCGGTTTTTTTTTCTCGCAAAGAGATTTAATTTCAACCGCGTACAAATGCAGTCGCTCCATCCCTTATTCAATATTGTATTCAAACTTCAAACATGACGAACGCCTGTCTATGACGCGAAAAGGTGTCGTGCGCGCAATCTATCTTCGCGTTTGATATAAATGTCGTATACCCTAACGTATTGCAATAACGTGCCGACACGTGAGTTTTTTATGCAAACACGGAAAGCAGTTTTGCGCAAAATTATTTAAACAAAATCCGTTATCGTGATACGTAAAGCAATTTTCGCGGAATTTTACATCGCATTTTGCAACGCCGCATTGCCGGCATTACAGTGTTTAATCATCGCGCGCACGGCGATTAATTTCAATTGCGAGTTGAAATCTCCCTTTCCGGCATCCCTTTGGAGCACGGGGCAAACGAAATTTCTCGCGCGTCTCACACCGGATCACGCTTATTCCCGATCCTCCCTCTCTGGAGCTCGCCGGCGAGATATTCAGCCCTTCTTTGTACAATTAGGAGTTTTTGTCGTCGCTCGTGCGGTACAAGAGACAGGCCGCCTGCGAAGGGTGGAATCAGGATGAAGCGAAGGGAAGGTGGGAAAAGAGACGTTTGCGATAGGAGAAAGATAGAGCAAGGATCAATATGCACCTCGAGTGTCGAGAGCGCGCGGATGTAGGAAAACCGATTTCACTACTCCTGCGGCTCGTCGAAGCCATTGCGAAAGAAAGATTTACCGGGTTATGTCAAACCTGATAATACAAATGTTGCTTTTAATCTTTTGTTTACTAATTAATCGATTAGATAATGACAAAGAACGAAAAAAACTTGACTATAAATTCAAATGTGCGTATACAAACGTTCAATGGAAAAATTAAAAAAAAAAACGCAAACTAGTCGTTATTTGTTTACAAATTAAATTGTTCTTTTTGATGTTGGATGACGCGCGCGCGATAAATTCTCCGCTTTACACGTGTCAGCGACAGTACTGGTTTGCGTCTCGCAATAAGCTTACGTCTTTCCCACGCCTGGGAACGTAGTTAATGTATTATACACACACACACACACACACACTTTTTTCTTGTGGTTGATTAGAATTCAATTTTAAATTCAACGACATGTTCCGTTGATATCAACGCGTACAGGTTTTTTATAAAAGTAAATATCCTCTCGAAGTTTCATCTCTGACAAGTCGGTTTTTAGATTGTAACTTCAATAAAAAATTTTCTATATTTATTTCTTCAGGCTTGCTTCAATGTGTTCAATTATGAGAAACTGAATAGAAATTGCATCAAATAGAAAGTAGATCTCACAAATCGAAACGTTCGCAAGTTTCAAGTTGTGTTACTTCGAGGAAATTAATTTACTGTTAAAGTGTGTTGAAGGACACACTGTCGAATTAAAAAACTTGACTGCTAATTGAATAAAGAAGTTTTTTTCATTATTGCATCTCGTATCAATGGAATCATGAAGAATCGATGATGCGATAAACGATCATGTATTTATGTGTGTGCGCGCATATAAGCTTGATCTTCTAGCCTCTTGAGCGTCTTTAAGGACAGCGAAGCCTTGACATACAAGATACGCTGCTGATTTTATAACGGATCCTTACTAACACAAGTTAATCACGGATCAGTTACAATATTGCACAGCGAGGTCGTATAAAAGCACATTACTCGAGAGTCGAGATGAATATGAAATACAGTAACTATTGTTGTTACCTAAAACAGTTAGGCGCGTATTCCCATAACACCCACATCTCTGCATAAAAACGTGCCGAATAAGTTAATTAAAAAATCGCTGCATAATGCAAACACGCCTGAAGTTCTTCTAATAAGAAGATACGCTCAGAGAAACAATCCTTTAGTTGCGATTAATTAGTCAGTTTTACTATAATAGTAAAATTTTGTTGCAGATATTTAAACTTTTGTAAAAAAAAATTAATATTGTTAAAAATAATTTCGATCAATAATTCTTTACTTTTATGTGATAAGACAACACGTGTTGCCAGTTTCATTGTTGTTTTTTTACTCTAAATTTATCTTAAATTTTATATTCCTAGAGTTATAATAATTTTATAGCAAAAAGGAGAAAACGACGTTGTCTGTATGCGCATGAATTAACGGCGGTTTCCGTATGTTCCGCTGTACAGGTCACGTACTCGGCTGATCTCGCGATCGAGATACCGGGCAACCTGAGCCAGGGTGGTTCCTGGTACCGTTTGGATTACAGCCCACCGGTCGGCTCTCCACCGCCGAACACCACCATAGCCGCAACTGACATCGGTGATGTCATAAAGTTCAGGGACGGTTTGCCCGGAACGAGATATGAATATTGGTTATATTACAGCAACAGCACGCTTCACGATTGGCTGACGTGGACCGCGTCGATTACGACACGTATGTGTAATTCGATCCTGTTATCCTTCAGCGACGAATTACTATTTCATAAATACATTTCTGCAATATACGACCGATATGCTTTTATAAAATATGATTTTTCTGTTTTTTTAATTATTATGTGAATTGCACAATTTTTTGAAAACATGCGGTGTTGAGCAAGACGCCAATTAATATAATTCCGTTCACATCAGCGCCCGATCCTCCTTCGAATTTGACGATATCGGTGCGAAATGGGAAAACGGCGATCGTGTATTGGTCGCCTCCGGCTCAGGGAAATTATTCGGGTTTCCGGTTACGCACGCAGAGTTTCAGCGACACCGGAAATCCGAAGACCAGCGTCATTCCTGGCGACTCGGTGCCCTACACACTCCGAGATCTCACACCCGGGGCCACGTACTCGCTTCAACTCTTTACCGTGCTGGACGCCAAAGAGAGCGTTGCTTATACCAGCAGAAATTTTACCACAAGTAAGATAGAAATAAACATTAATATAATTTTATAATTTTTACAACTATAAGATACTTTTATAAATGTTTAATGTGAAACAATAAACGTCTGGCATCACGTGTGTGTGAATCATTTGCAGAACCGAACACTCCGGGAAAGTTTATTGTCTGGTTCAGAAATGAAACGACGTTGCTCGTATTGTGGCAGCCGCCTTATCCTGCCGGAATTTACACACATTACAAAGTTAGCATAGACCCGCCAGACGCAATAGAGTCCGTTCTATACGTAGAAAAGGAAGGCGAACCACCCGGTCCTGCACAGGCGGCTTTCAAAGGACTCGTTCCAGGTCAGCTGTTTGCTATCGTAAATATAATTGGAAGCGCGCACATATATTGAAGAACTAAATTATTATATCAGATACAGATAAATTAAATTGCGTTACATAAATATGTTTCGAAAATATGTATATTATGCATGTGTGTTACGTCACGAGAATACGATTTTGAACACACAGGAAAGTGTCTTTCACTTACAAACGAGCTCATGTATAAATAATTTGCGCGTTTTATCGCAAAATATTTGTACGCGAGCGTTTCAAATCAAATTGGCTTCATTATTTCCTTTTCTCCAGACACACGAAGCGGAACTGTTTTAGAGTCTCGAATTGCGGAGAAAGTGCACGTCTACCGTAAATAGAGCAACTCGTAAATTCCAAAGACGAACAAATCGCTTTTTTTGTATCAATATTTGCTTTCCCAATATTGAAAAAATGTTAAAGTCGAAATTGTTTGAATTTGTAAAAAAGTTGATCGAAGCTCTCGAAAGATGATTCTCTAGTTTATTTATTGAATAAAACAAACAATTAGACACAATTCACATTTATCGATTTTGCTACTATGCTATTTAATGTTTTCGCTCGTGTGTGTACAAGTGCAACGATTATCACGACCGGTATTTTTTAGAAAGCAGTAAAGTTATGTAATAGAAAAAAACTTGAAGTGGTATAAAAATTCGAAGTGAAACTACTTGATTCTAAACAAGATTTAGTTACATTAGTGCGATAATTATCAGTAACATACCGCAAACTTCTCTTTATTACATTTTCAAACAACACCGCAAACATTTAAACAAAAAGAAACAATTATTTTTCAAAAGTTGCGTTTTTTTTTAAATTGTATCTGTATTTCCAATCGCAGGTAGAGCGTATAATATTTCCGTGCAGACCGTTTCGGAAGATGAAACTTCCGCGCCTACAACAGCTCAGTATCGCACGGTGCCATTGCGTCCACTCAACGTGACCTTTGACAAGTCTTCCGTCACGTCGACTTCCTTCCGCGTATTTTGGAACCCTCCTAACGGAACGTCCGAATTCGACAAGTATCAAATATCGCTCGGCAGTAACCGGCGACTCACGCCTGTCACGCGAAATCGAGACGACGAGAACAGCTGGGAGTTCAGGGACTTGGAACCCGGCAAGACGTATCAAGTGGTCGTGAAAACGGTTTCTGGCAAGGTCACCAGTTGGCCGGCCAGCGGGGATGTCACTCTGAGTACGTGTCCCACTTTGCACGTGTATATTTCGCTTCTTAATTTAGTGCTTGCTAAAAAAAAAACTGCTCTTTCTATCTTCAGACATTCTTAACACCGTATTATTTCTTTTGATATTTTTATACGTTTGTAGAGCCGCTACCTGTTCGCGATTTCAGGGCGGTGCTGGACGAGAGAACTGGTATGGTAGAAATCTCGTGGAATCCAGAGAATTCCAGTACGCAAGACAGTTACAAGCTTCAATATCACGAAGTAGAAACAACGATCGGCGGCGACAGCAACATTTTGACAACCGACAAAACAAAGGTGAGCATGTTGCGAATCATTAAGCAGCGTCCGCACAAAGATTTTTGCGGACAGTGTGTTTGAATTATTTGATTTGTTTGTTCAACGTATTTTCATGACATTTGAGACGCAAATTTTATTTTGAACAGGTTACACTGGAAGCTCTGCTGCCAGGAAGAAATTATTCCATAATAGTCCAGGCGATCAGTAACAAAGTCGAGTCAAACGAAACCGTCCTGTATCAGGCGACACGTCCTGCCAGTCCTATAATTGAGGATCTGAAGCCCATCGAGAAGGGCTTGAACATTTCTTGGAAGAGCGACGTGAATTCCAGACAAGAGAAGTTCGAAGTAACTCATAACAGAAATGACACCGGTGAGAGCGCAACTACTTTGACTACGGAATCGCACATCGTTTTGGAAGATCTTTATCCTGGCGCAGCTTACGAGGTCAAGGTCTTCGCTATCAGTCATGGACTTCGAAGCGAGCCGCATGACAATTTGCAAGCCGTTTGTACGTTAATTAACTTTTTTGTTTCAAATCTCTAAAAATAATAATTTTTTTTGGTCTATTATTGATTACAGGATTTTCATTCAGTTTTTCAAAGTTTTTATCCTTTTTAGTACCTCGTCCGCCGAGAAATCTCAGTATCGAAAAAGTCACGAGCAACACCGTCGTCGTGCACTGGGAGGCACCGACGAACTCGATATTTACCGAGTACTCCATCAGATATCGCACAGAAGACGATCCCAGGTGGGTCAAACTTCCCAGCGTGCGTGACACAGAAGCCGAAGTGGCGGATATGACGGCCGGCGAGAAATACACCATACAAGTAAACACCGTAAGTTACGGCGTCGAGAGTTTGTATCCGTTGCAAGTGAATCATACAGTCAGTAAGTATACAAAAGTACATCTCATTGTGAAATACTTAATACGCAAAAACACATATTTTTAAATACTTTTTTTACTTTAGGACCCAATCCGGTTTTAACTATTACGCCGATCATTGACTCAACCAACGTGACTCTTGAATGGCCGCGGCCCGAAGGTCGTATAGAGACTTACGTTATAAGATGGTGGTCGGTAGAGAATCCGGACGATACCAGGACGAAGAACGTTAGCGGGAGCAATGACGTAACCGACGTTAGTTTTGAAGAGAACACCGTGCACACTGAAAAGGTTTTAATTGACGATTTGGTTCCCGGAGTGCAGTATTTCTTTGTTGTCTACACGGTGTCCTACGATCTGGTCAGCGACATCAACAATCTGACCACAAGAACGAGTGAGTTGCAATCATTATTGGCTAATCTCGTCGTCAACAACGAACAAAGATTCGTCGACGTTGTTATTTTTCGTTGCTTGAAAAGACTCGATTATTAACGTTTTTCTCTTTGCCTGAGCATGAACAGCTAACAGATACATGCGACATCTTATATAGGTTTTTCTGTTGTTTACTAATTATGTCTATATATTGTCCATTGCGCTTTTCTTTCTATCACGTTATTATCTCTCTCTTGGAAGTTCGTAATGCCGAGTTCATTCGAAGGCTGACGTGAGCGAATTGAAAAACAATTCGGTAGGGATGAGATTTTCACGCAAATCGAAGACAAACAAAAATAAAATGTTAAAATCTAGTGCCGCTGCTGCAATCCGAAGTCGTCCTAGTGATCGATCCGAACCTACCGAGATCGTTGACGTTGAGATACACGCGAACGCCGATTCAGTCTTCGAGATTCGATCTCTACCGGTTCAGGATTAGCGATGAGAATAACACCACGAAGGAGCGCACGGTGGACGATACCGATACCAAGATCACGTTTGTTGGATTAACACCCGGCAAACTGTACAACGTGACTGTTTGGACAGTAAGCGATAACGTAGAGAGCAGACCTCTCGTCCGACAAGATCGACTCTGTGAGTATATGCGATGCCACGTAACAATTTACACTTCTCTCTTTATTGGTACATGAGTGGAACTGCTATGTTTGCCAGAGAGATCGTTTTTGTTTGATTAACGAATTCTCACACGTGTAATCCACTTGTAAGCGTGGTAGCGTTGTACAGTCTCGAGATATACCACTCTTTTACATATTGTTCCATAATACTTACGTAACACTGTTGTAACTTTGTGTGTTCATGTTCAAAGCAACTGTACGCGGTGAAAAGGTCGCGGTGAAGAAATAACAGTAAATTCATTGTAGTATATATTTCACATTTTTCATACGTTTAAAAAATGTATCTACAACAGCTTGTATATTTTATTGTCATACATCGAGAAAGAGAGACGCAAAATTTTCAAACTCCTCCTACAAGTCAAGCACTCGATCGAAAAAAGCTCTCGCTCGGCTCTTGTTATTAGCCCGAAGATAAATATTATTTTTAGATCCCGAACCGATCAGTGAAATCCAAGCGATCGATATAAATGATACGAGAATCACCTTGACCTGGGACGCCCCGTACGGAGAATACGATGCTTACGAAGTGCAATACTTAAATACGGAAGGAAAACTCATCCAAAATATAACCTCGGTCAACGTGATCACCATCTTCGATCTGAAGCCGCATAGAAATTATACGTTTACTCTGATTGTACGTTCGGGCACAGAATCTTCTCACTTGAGAAACTCGAATCCCATCAGCGCCAGTTTCACGACCAAGGAATCGTACCCGGGAAAGGTCGAGAAGTTTCATCCAATCGACATCCAACCGAGCGACATCAGCTTCGTGTGGTCTCTGCCTGCTCACGAACAGAACGGTGTTATCAGAAAATTCAGCATCACTTACGGTTTAGAAGTAAGAGTTTCTCTGTGGAAATATATTCGAGAAATTTTTGTTCTTTACAATTAAAAAAAATATTAAACAGCCGCAAGTTAAACTGTTACATTGCTTCTTCTCACGTTGAAGCGGTACCCTTGAATCCTTGTCTGTTTCACTAGGGTTCAACTCATACCCAAATGCAGGACTTCAGATCGACCGATTTCCGCGGTGTTATCAAGTCTCTCATACCGGGCAAGACGTACATCTTCCGAATTCAAGCGGAAACAAAAATCGGCTACGGCCCCGAAACGATCTGGAAGCAGAAGATGCCGATATTGGCTCCGCCGAAACCGTCCACGCAGGTGGTGCCGACCGAAGTCTGCAGAAGCAGCACCACGATCCAAATCAGATTCAGGAAGAACTACTTCAGCGAGCAGAACGGCGCGGTCACGTCGTACACCATCATCGTGGCCGAGGATGACAGCAAAAACGCTTCCGGTCTGGAAATGCCCAGTTGGAGAGACGTTCAGGCTTACAGTATTTGGCCTCCTTATCAGGTAACGTTCGTATACAGTAGATTTGTAAAAAAGTGTAAAAATAGACATTTGCAAAATTAATGTAGCTGTAAATTTCTAATACATTATTGAACAACCGCGATATAGTAGCAAATAAATAACTTGAGATATAAATCTCGACTCTCGTTACATAAAATATATATTCTGAGAAAAAATTGTTTATGATAATTGATGCAACAAATTATATACCGCGCGCGACTTGTTGACTTGCAAGATCATGGACGGGTGCCGCAAAATGTATGCGTTGTGTGTGACGTAGATCTACAATCACGCATAAACGTCTGCGGGCTGCGACCATGTACATTATGCGCAGACCGAAGGATACGCGTCTCGTAATCTAGTTGCAATCTGAAACGGCAAAAGTGAAGATGTGATTGTCGCGAAGCGCTGACAGTTCGGAAGATCGAATTGCGATATCGTGTTTGACACAATTTACGCGTCAAAATAATCGTAAAAAAGAACAAAAAACAAGTGTGCGCAAACAATTTGCAATACAAAACTATGTAAATTCGACGAGTTTTTTAATTGTAATAACGCGACATTTTATCACGGAATGTGTGTCGCGAAAAATTCTTATCGCGTCTCTGTTATGAAAGAGTGTATAAAATTCAGCCATGGAGATTTTAACCGACATAATTTTAAACACCAAGAAGATGCTCACGCGGGTGCTTATAAAAATAATAATAAATTTTCTATAACTAATGCAATCATAGCTGCGAACAAAACATACTTTATTTTATTATCTGCTGTACAAAAATATATTAAACGTTAAACATTACTTGATAATTTATATTCATTAATTTTTTCTACAAAGTTTTTTTGTCATAAATATGCAACGAAAAGTGTTGAAAGTAACTGGTTTAATATATTTAACTTTGATAAGAATAAATTTGAAGAATAGCGTAAAATTTAATAGTGTAATTTTTAATTAAAAAATATCACTAATCAAAATTAATTTATTTTACAGTAAGAAAAAGGTGCACAACGCTTATATACGTCTATAAAACAAATTTCCAGGTGATGGAGCCGTATTATCCTTTTAAAAACGGCTCAGTTGAGGACTTTACAATCGGCTCTGAGAACTGCGACAACAAAATTGGATATTGCAACGGCCCGTTAAAATCCGGATCTACTTATCGGGTAAAGGTGCGCGCGTTTACCGCACCGGACAAATTCACGGACACCAGCTATAGCTTCCCTATTCAAACAGGTGAGAGCGATCGAGTGGAAAGTCTTAAGATGTGAAAGAAATATTGCGTGCCGATTAACGTATCCGATATTTTTTACTAAACTTGACCGCTAATCAATACTTGCATACATGAAGTTTGTAATAAGTAAAAAAAATATATAACTATATGATATGTGATATATATTGACGCATCGGATACGATAAATGGTTTTAAAAAGCTTATTAGAGGCACACTGCGCATGTAGTGAAAGCCTCGCTAAATTCATGCCTCGTTATTTCGTGTACATGTCTGCCCAAGGATTGCTGCTGGCAGGTAAGATCTCGGAATGAAAATTTAAAGTTTTATCCTCTTTGTCGCAAAACACGTACGACAGTTTTATGCGAACGCATATTTGTACAGCATTTAATCCGTGAATTATTCTTGGCGTTTGTCTAGCTCGTTGTAACGCTCAAAATTCATTATGCGTACCGAACAGATAAGGACAACACGGCCATCATAGTTGGTGTCACCGTCGCCATAGCGTTGCTACTGTTCCTATTGGGCATCGGTCTATTCATGCGAAGAAGGAGAAGTCAGGGTCGCAAGACGACGGAAACCAGGGCGACCGATAACTTGTCATTGCCGGATAGCGTCATTGAGACCAGGTGCCGAGAAACTGAAATACTTTATTTTCGAATTGAGACAATAAGAAGTTGCGCGATAAAAATTATATTACGCGCATTAAAAACAAAGATTCTATTTACAATAATAAAATATCAAATTTTTTCTTATACGTTTTCAGCCGACCTATCAAAGTCGAAGATTTTGCTGAGCATTATCGCACCATGTCCGCGGATTCCGATTTCCGGTTCTCGGAAGAATTCGAAGAACTGAAACACGTTGGAAGAGACCAGCCGTGCACCGCGGCCGATTTGCCTTGTAACAGGCCGAAGAATCGCTTCACGAATATTCTTCCATATGATCACAGTAGATTCAAACTTCAACCTGTCGACGATGAAGAGGGTTCCGACTACATTAACGCTAATTACGTTCCGGTATATAAAAATAAAGCTTTTTAAATTAAAATTAACAATAATAAATTTAAAAAATAATTAAAATAAAGCTATTTTTTTAATTAAAATAATGTGAAGTTTTAATAACGCACAACAAAAATTATACATTTTAATTTAATTTTAATTTTATTCTTCTATAATAGGGTCACAATTCACCGCGGGAGTTTATAGTGACTCAAGGACCGTTGCATTCGACTCGCGACGATTTCTGGCGGATGGTGTGGGAGAGCAACAGCAGAGCGATCGTGATGCTGACGAGATGCATCGAGAAAGGAAGAGAAAAGTGCGATCATTATTGGCCAATGGATACTTTGCCAGTTTATTACGGTGACATCTGCGTCACGATACTGAACGAAACCCATTATCCGGATTGGAGTATCACGGAATTCATGTTGTGCAGAGTGAGTGGTCACGTTTCTTTCGTTCACACTCACATCATCTGTCAAAATAATCCTATCAAAATAAAGTTCATATGCAGTTTGCTGTTTATTTTACTCCGTTTTTCAAAATGCCGTGTCGTAGGGCGATGTGAAGAGAGTGATACAGCACTTCCACTTCACCACCTGGCCAGATTTTGGCGTTCCTAGTCCACCCCAGACATTGGCGAGGTTCGTGCGGGCGTTCAGAGAACGAGTCAGACCCGATCAGAGGCCTATAGTCGTTCACTGCAGCGCCGGGGTAGGTCGTAGTGGTACCTTCATCACCCTCGACAGAATATTACAGCAGATACTGGTGTCGAAGTACGTTGACATCTTTGGAATTGTCTGGGCAATGAGAAAGGAACGAGTCTGGATGGTTCAGACGGAGCAGCAGTACATCTGCATACATCAGTGTCTCCTGGCGGTTCTGGAGGGCCAGGACACAACCGGGCCACCGCGGGAGATTCACGATAATCAGGGATTCGAAGGTATATATGCCCTGAAACATTTTGTCAGTCGTACGAGATGTTGTAAATTAATTGGAACAATTGCGGAACAACTAGAGAGAATGCACACACACCGTAATGGGTAATTGAAAGTATCTGTTTCTGAAGAGTTAAAATGTTGATGACAGTCGGTCGGTAGTGCATGTCACATCGATAAAAGATCCAAAGTGGAGTAGCTGTAATTTTTTAATCTGTTTTCGTACGCGGAATCTTTCTCCTGCTCACATGGAAACAGGTTAAATAGTTTACAAACGATATATATTACCTATTTTCTCTCTCAATGACAAAACAGAACTGACAATGATAAACAAGATAGTGTAAACGTTTTGCAAATACTAAGAAGAAACTAAGAACGATTTATGTTCGCGCGATGGTGACGGTATATATGTGGTGCGGTGGTGGTTGTAAAAGAGCACACATGTTATTTCTCCCTTGACAAGTGAAAGTGATGGTTTACCCCTTTTTTTGTAAAACGGTATCACTTCCTTCGCCTAGTAACTCTCACACCCCCCTCTCTGCAATCTTTGCGACCTTTGTATTCAGGCAAGAATCGAAGCTCGGTCGAAAGCACTATGAGTCCTGCTGAGGATGAAAAGGAGAGGTGACCTTCGAACGGCGACTCCTGCGTCGACGGTAATTTCGATCGTTGCTTTTTTTCTTCCCTGCATGAGAAACTGAAATTTCACCCTTCCCCGAAATGTACAAGTAATTGTTGTATGCTGCATGTAAAGAGATACAAAAATAATCTCTATACGTAGTTTTCCCAAATTAATATTTCATTAGCATTTCTTAAAACGCTTGTTCATTTGTATCACTTAGTCACGCGACTTGTATGCAATTGCGCTAAAAACAGCAACAATCACGATGACCGATTAATTACCAAAATATTTAGTAATTAATTTGGTTGTCCAATTTTTATATCAGACACGATATAAAACAATATATTGCTATTTTATTCCTGATTAACAAATCCAGATTTACACGCTTTGAGTTTTTACAAACACTTTTTTTTATAATTGTGTGTAAGAAAATATCAAAAAAATGTTTCATATATCAATTTTATTCGCGATTATATAAAAATTGCTTGCATCGAGCATGATTGCGATGTATAAAACAAAAATCAATTGCGCACGATTATGTTCAATTGTTTTCTGACATTTTGTTCACTATTTTGCAGATGACGAGGGAATAGCCGAATCGGGAATGTGATGTTTCGATCGCTGCTTGGAAATAATAACTGATAGTGACGAAAGAAACGGATCTCTTGTTTCGAAGGTGTTTGAATTCTCGACATTTTTCGAATTACCTTGGAAAACGCACATTCGAAAAAACGACAAATCAGACAAAGACAATAGAAATAGCGTAACAAACGATTACGCGGATGTTAGATCACGTGTGGAAATTGACGAAGGAGATTTCTCGGAATGAACGATTTTCCAAACAGCTTCATGACAAAACAAACAACGAGTAAGCACACGTGTGTTTTATTCTTATATCATTTACATATCGACAAACAAGCGTGTTCAATCTCTAATACACGTAGAATAGTTCGAGACTAATGATTAATTGAAGATATACGATATAAAACGGTATAAAAATAGCGTAAATCTGATGATTAAAGAACAGGATGTGGAACAATGAAGTCAAAGCAAATTTTTCAGCGTGGGAATTAAATATCACATGCGCTGATGTTTCACGATTGTGCAAAAAATCGGTGATCACATCTTTACTAATATACAACTTTTATGTGTATAATATCTTTATATACGGATATATGTAAGTAGCGAGAAAAATGATAAAAGAAAACACAAGCGACGTTGATAAACATAAGTCGTATGTATTATAATGAAAGATGCATATTCCACTGGTTTTATCATAATGGGGAGGGGACGGGGAACTTCGAACCACATCGCATCCGCAAAATGAGTCTTATCACGTACAATTTCGTTAGTTAGACATATTACGTACGGCAAAAGAACAAACAGCTTTTTCTATCGATCATTGCGAATTTTTAGACGTCTCGATTTTTACTCTAACGTATAAATATTTTCCTTATCACAACTCTCTGTTTATATTCTATATGCTCTACAAACGTAAAGATATATCTTGCAATATTTTTTTAAATAATTTTGGCGAAGAAATGAGAATCAACAAATAAAGTTTGCCAAAACACAAAACGCAAATCGTTCGACGTGTTTACTTGACTAATCGTTCGAAGCAGCGAACCGTCCAAGAACTATATAAAAACGAGTGCTAAGACAACAATAAAAATAAGATAACAATTTAAATATGATAACGTTATTATTAAAAAAGCGACTTATCTGAAAGGAAAAAAAAATATCAAAAGGATCAGGCGCGGATGTGAATGTGCGGAGCTTTTAATCGATCCTTCTTTTCGGGACGGACGAAAACAATATCAGTGGGAACAAGAAACTCGCATTTTTGTAGGAGCCATATCAGTTTTGGAAAGAGTAAAAGAAAAAAATACATAAAACGTGTGTATATGTGCGTGTAGATGTGTGCGTGCATGTATGTAGCTAATCAATTATAAAGCCGTTTAGAGCGATACATATTGGCCTCTTCCGTCGTATTGCAGATCGTGGTCGCCGTTGGAGAGTAATACAATTTTAAAAACCGATAAGATATAAAGCAATAAAAAAAAGTGTTTCCTGTAGCAATCGCAGATGTAGTCGTGTATATCGAGACAGGCTTTAACTTCACGTAGTAATAATAAATGAGATAATTGTGGATTAATAAATTTGCAATTTGCAAAACGAGTTTTCAGCGGTTTAATCGGTTTAGCGGAACAGGTTGAATTATTTTCGTAAAATGAGCAATCGTTTCGCATTTTTTTAACGTTTAATGCCATTTCGAAGTGATATAAGAAATGCATGTACTTAATTTTGTTAATTCTCGACAAAGGCTCAGCAGAATGCAATTGATTGCATGTGAGTAGGTAATTTGTTTTCGTACAGATTAGAGTTACGATTGAAACTTTATCGCGCGAACACTTTAGAAAGAGATTTTAAATTAAAAAAACAAAACAAAAAAAAAACAAACAAACAAAAAAAACAAAAAGAAGATTCGTGTTCATCATGTATTTTTGGATGAGCATTTACAACGGTCACATTGTGAACTATATATTTACAAAACGATCGCAGGGACTGTTTTTAAAGGTTCATCACATTTTATGGCACTATATACACAGGATTTTATTAATCCGCTTATTATGTATTAAGGATTATATTAATCCGCTTATTTTTGAGGACACATAAACATAAAATGTTGCATGTAACGAGTATATAATACATTAAAGCAGGCGCTCTATTAAACATAAAGATATGAGATTTATATATACATATACATATACATATGTAAAACATTGTCTTGTTCAAATGCAGCTATACAATTTTTCATATTTTTTACATTATTGGAAACGGATTACCGAAAATTTAGCTCTCTAGAGAGGGAAAGAGAGAAAGAGTTGAAGAAAGAAAATAAAATTTCATACGCGTACAGTAATCTCCGCTTGTAAGTTAGTCAATGGTGGTTTAGAGGAAAATAATGATCACTTTTACATATTTGTTCTATCGGCGTTGTTCTGTGCGCGCGCGAACACGTACGCAATACGTTTAAAACATAAATACATATAATATACATATAATGTGTGTATGCATACATTGTAACGTGGGACAAACTATCGATAAAATACGTGCAATCAGAAATAACTTACAGACGACTTACAAGCGTAGATTATGAGATGATCTTATATATGTAACTATTACAAATATATATATATTACATATATATATATATATATATATATATATATATATGTATATATTTACACACGTACGTACGCACGTCGATAGTAATCATAATGCTGTTGTTACGCTGCTACAATACACTATCAATGTCGATTTATTTCGGAAAAAAATGCGGAAGATATAGTGGAAAAAAGTATAAAGAGAAAAATATTGATCTCTCTTTCTAGTATATAATTCCGCTCTTTGTACAACTTCAATTCCTCTTACGAATATTACGGCTTTTAGCGAGCGCTTGAAAGTCATTGTTACAAACAATTCAACGACCGATTTAATAAATTGTTTCAATACTCGAATGACACAAGAGGTTTTTAGATATACTAAATAAATTTTTTTATCGTATTTTTAAGTTGTAACAGCGGATGTGAGATGTAAGTGTTACATCGCGAGATAACGTTCGACGATCTGTTGCAACTTTCATTTTATATATATATATATATATATATATATATATATATAAAATCCGCGTATTGTAAGGTTGTATATTTTATTCAACTTTATACAACACAACACACGTTGACGTTATTGATTACGAGTTTATCGTGAATTCTTCAACGCTATAATATAGTGTGTTTTTGCGATTTTTAATTAAGCAAAACATAATTTATATAATCAGAGACTTCTTTTTTTTTGTATTAATAGCTCAGCTCAAATATTTTCTATTTTGTTATCGCGTTATCAGTAACTTTTAAGAGATGTACTAATATATATATGTATATATAATATATATATATATATATATATTGTTATATATATATATATATATATATATATACACATATAGGAACATTACTTAACATAATACTATTCTAATATTGCAATTGTTATTCGTTAATTAACACAATTAAAGTTTTTTTCACGATAAAACACAATAGTTGAATAGTTTAAAAACGCGCGCATTTCTACACGTAGTTCTTTTCAAATAATGAAAATATATTTAAACACGCAGAGATACAAATCTACACGTGTCAACTCTCAAAGAAGTAACATTTTTGTGCAATTACTGTTCTTTCATACAATTAATTAAGATATAATTAAGATCTGATAGATTTTATATAATTTTTGTGAATTAACGTTGACGGACGGATAATACATATTTTAACTCCGTTCGAGAAATTTACTCCGTAAAATTAAATTAGTTTATAGCACTTGGACTACTTTGCATTACTTTATTCTGTGATAAATTATGATCGTCGATCAAAGACGAGGAACAAAAGACCCGTCAGAAACAAATGCGGTAGGTCTTCCGAAAACGAATAGCGATTCTCGCCTTTTATCATTACCATCTGCGCTAGTAGTACGTGCCAATCGAATTGCCGTCGAATCGATCTCGTTTGACGTTCAGACGGAATTGCTAAATGAGATGTTTAACGTATCATACGTCTGCGGAGCGAGATATTGTAAATAATCTTATATTTAAGGTCTCATATCAGGGTTAAAAATTCATCGTCGTTCTTAAAAAAAAACGATTCCCTGTGAAAAGCGATAGCAAAACCAAGGACAGTAATTTTGTTTGAAATTTGCTTCAAATCGAGAAACAAAGAGAGAAAGACATTTAACAAAGTACAGTGGACTCCCGCCAGTAGATCCGCCAGTAGATCCGCAAGTCCGCCTTGCCCGCCACACGCACAAGTCATTCCCCTGACCATGTCTGCCCGCGCGAAGTCGTAGATAAGGCGGCTTTACTCTGTCGTCTCTCACCATGCTCAATAATCTCGAGGCGTGGAAGAAGCTTCACTTATAGATCTGTTTTCGAGAATTTTCCGCTCCTTCAGCCCCGAGGGCGGATCTATAGCGAGAGTCCATTGTATCCCGGCTGCGTTAATATGGCGACTTGTTTTACGTGCAATTTGTGTCGAACATTGAGATACACAGCAGAAGTGACATTTGCGCAAGTTTTTTCTTGTTTTACTGTGATTTTTCACAAGGAATCGACGTTTACACAAAACGCATACTCCGCGTAGGTCTAATCTCTTTTGTAAATATATTTTACGCCGAGACTGCGAGAACAGTCCGATTATGATATACGAGAGAAAGACAAATACATGAATCGAGAGAAATCTCGTCACACTCGTCTCTCGTTTGAATACGCAAACTCGTTCAATTATTATTATTTCTGTCACGCGTTAATGATATCGTGTAATACATGTGTCAGCATATATCTGAGAATTTGTACAACGTGCGAATCACACACACGAAGGGACACGGGTTGTCCCGTGCGCGCGATATATCGCATTACACATATACGATTATACGAAACGAGGGCGGAGGGGCAACACTTGTATAATAAACGTGGCTCTTCCAGTATAACTTTTTTCTCTCTTTCTTTTACCTTGCGTCTCTGATAACTAAATATCTGTTATTATCTTACAGTTAACAAGTAGATGAGAAGTACACAAGTCATATAATTCGTAAACAATTTTATTAGCAATTCACATATTAAATACAAGTGCGCACTCTTTAATAGATGAAATTTGTACGTACATTTACATATATTTAAAAACCGTGTTGATAATAATTTTTTTTATAATTACATAAATTTGTATAAATATTTTGTATTAATATTTGTATAAATAGTTTTCTTCAAATTGAACAGTGACTAGATCATGTCTTTACAGGCTACTATTTGTAAATAGTTTTTTTAATTTTTTCTTTTCAATTTAATGATACTTCTGATGACAGCGAATAGTCGAGATTGCTGGGCTTGTAAGTATTGGATTTCGTGGCGATTTCAATAGAACGACCTATGTAAGTAAAATAAATTATTAACATACATTATCAAATTCTCATATCAACAAGTAAAATGTGAAATTACCGTCGTACTTTATAAGCTGTAAGCGCGGTATTTTAAACATTTGCGTAATTAAATTGCTTTTAGTTTTTAAAATCAACAAGTAAAATATAAAATTATCATCGTACTTTTATCAACTGTAAGCGCGGTGTTTTAAATGTTTACGTAATTAAATTGCTTTTAGTTTTTAAAATCAACAAGTAAAATATAAAATTATCATCGTACTTTTTTAAACTGTAAGCGCGGTGTTTTAAATGTTTACGTAATTAAATCGCTTTTAGTTTTTAAAATATTAAAAAAAACAATAATGATATCATATGTTATACAGTTATATTTTTTTCAGCAGAGAAAAATGGCGCAGCAGTGAAACGCTGCATTTATGTTTTAAAGGAAAATGTTCAGTTCATTGATTTGATCAAGGTCTTGTCATGCCTCGGCAACGCAAGAACTCGTCCGCCAATAAAGAACCACTTAAGTCACGTTAAATCTTTACTTTCCTCTCAGTTGGCTAAGAATTCTGGAGAAAATTCCACGCGCCATGTCTTCCGCGGGTTTATCGATAACTCCATTGTTCTTATTATGAGAATGTCTGTGTAATATACGACTCAGCGATCCTGTTCGAGAGGAAACGAAAAGTTTTCTGGGCGTGCTGTCTTTGTCGGTGAGCTTAAGCATCCTGCCCAAAGAGTTCGTTTTTGCTTTCCTCGATGCTTTATCGTCATAATTACCGACGCTTGTCACATTCTGAGTAACAGAAGAAGCCGAAGAAAATACGTTAAACAAAAAACATATCACCATAAATCGGTAAAAATCTTTTGACATTTTTATTCAAGGTGACGCGTGAGAGAATGAAAATATAACAAGGATAAAATTTGTAATATAATATCTCCAGTTTTTTTAAGATAAAATTTGTAAACGTATTACAACAAAAAACTCGTTCAAGGTCGCGTACAATGATTTGTCTTCACTATCATGACACTTTCAGGATTCGAAGTTCCTTCATGTATCATAAGATATTACCGAAGCTCGAGAGCCGCGTCGTCTCAGAAGCGCCCCTTTACATTTGTAAAACACGACGCCCCGAGGAATCAAATCACTTACGGTATCTAGGCCTAAAGAAGATGTTCCCTCGTTGAGCGTACGCGTCTTAAACATTCTTCCCATTCTATCCAGTGTGGCGCTCTTCAATCTTCTGACGTCCTGCATAACGATCTCGGTCTTTGTCATCGTTCGTGGCAATTCCGATGATCTATTATTCTGCTGCCGAGTGTCTACAGTGTCCGCTGTAGTTTTACAAATTTTGTAAATATCTAAACATTTCGAAAGCTAACATATTCTCTGTATATATATATATATATATATATATATATATGTACAATATATATACATATAATACGCCAAGTCAATAGCGACGCAGCCGATCGCGCTTTGCCGTTTGCTTTAACAAATAAACCCGTATTCTGCCCGTATGTCGCTTTCAACAAATCGATCGATAACTAGTCCGCCAATCAGGCTGCAGTTGCAACAATAATTACGTATATGAGTAAGTCCCGTAATTGAAACGACGATTTACGTGAATACGACACGCGTATAGCGTCAACTAAGCGGCGGAATTATTTGAAAGAACAAATGAAAGTAATTTCATTCGTTACGCACATCAGGGATTGCAAGTGAGGGAAAAATTACACTTGCATAGGATAGATTTTTTTTTTGTTTTTAATGGAACCGCAGGTGGCGCAATGAAATATAAATCACTTGGGGGAATAACTTGTTCCAAGAAGTTTGACATCGAGTACGAAAAGTTTAGAAAACGAAAAAAACCAAAATTTCTAAGTCGATCGACCTTGGTACGCAAAATTAATTTTCATGCAACAGAAAATGATGCACCAATATTTCAAAATCTTCTGATCGCTCATTTCTCAGTTTGCGTTGCATATTTGTGCCATCAATTGTACAATAACGAAAAGCAATCAGCAATAATAACAGAGATGTTTGAACTTCGAAGGAAAGAAATTCTTGAGTTATTTTTTCTTACAAGAGAGATATAAACAAAGACGTTAATTAAAAGAGTGAAACACACTGCGTATGTATACTGTTGCGTTTACGTGAAAATTAAGTATGACAAATACACAGCGAGCGGAAGAAAATTAATTGACTCACTTAGTGATAGCCGGGATGCACTGGGTTCAGGCTCGTTAATTGCTTCCTGCTTTGCTGACGTTCTGTTATTTTCTTCGTGACGAACATTATTAGCGATGACCTAATAAGGTATTTACGTCAACGCAATTTCGCGTCAATTGCTATATTTTGATATTTTGTTTACTTGTGAAATATTGGCGACGAATTGACGCGAAAGTAAAATCTTAAAACTTGAACGTAGCGTGCGCTAGAATTGAAAATTCGAGTGCGCAACTAACCTGCGATCGATTTCTCCCAACGATTTCCGTATCTATCTCGTTCGTCTGCATCGCGTTTTCGATGGCAATTTTTAGGTTACTGCCGACGCAATCCTGGATTTCTGCGTGAATTTCGAATAAACGATATAAAATCGTGACGACAGTACGTGATTTAATATTAGATACGGTGGTGATAAACACAGTTACATATATACACACACACACTTACACACACTCTCTTCCTCTTTTGCTTTTGCTCTTTCTGTGTAATAGTGAAAAATATATTAACGATCTAGCGATTCGTCACTTCGACACAAAAACGCGATTCATAACGCGAGATATCGGTTTCATTTCCATGAGAAAGCGCTTCGTCAAGAGACTCTTACGATATTTGGACCAAAATATCTTAACTTATTTCGCGAATGAGATATTGAATTTCAATGAAATGAAAGAAAACGCGCAGCCTGTACGTAGACGTTATATTACACGTCGTATCGGATATGACAGATCCAGTTTTACGGGGGAGTTGCCATCGAAACCTTTTGCTCTCTTCGGAAACGAAATCTTCGGACAATGTTGCGCTAACAGAATGTATAGTTTTGAGAACTATTCTTTATCGGATATCGAATTGGTATCTCCACATTCTTCGCGGTAGAAAGCTCTCCGCTGACAGTTGTCAAAGGAAATAAAGAGCAGCCTTAAAATTTTCGCCGATAACAATCGCGCATTAGTCACTCGGAAATGTCTTCGTATCTTTCGAAAAAAAACGGCAATATGGCGGAAATGATGGACGTTACATTACGTAGTTGCTCTTTTATTTTGATATACAAATACGGGTCGCGTTAATACGTGCAAATTGATTCGAGAGTGTACGGAGTAATGGGGTTTTAAAAATTTACGAAACCTTTTTGTTCGCGATTGAGAAATTAGATAATAACATTTTTCAACGTTTTACTTTAAAAATGACGAGTTAAAATAACTTCTTTGCAATTCTGTACGCAAAAATAGATCTTCCTATCTGAATCATTGTCTTCAAATGTGTGTGTGTGTGCGTACGCTCACATGTGTTTGTATTCTCCCGAAGAAAAAAAGAAGATAAAAGGAATCATAATTAAACTGTCCGGGAGAAAAAAGTCTTAAGTACGTTTTCATGTAAGGGAGAACTCTTGACACTTTCACAAGTAGGATTAAACCGAGTGATTAAATGGGTCATGAAGCACAATCCTCTCGGGATGTTGGCTAATTGTCGGTGCGATGTAATTCGTCGAAGTACCTTTATTGATCGATACTCCTTTGGTTTCACTTGATGTACAAACAAGGAGTCAAATCGAGCGTTTATTTTTTGCAATAATATCTATTTTACGCGAACACTCACATCGTTACATCACATAAAACACCAGTGACACAACAAATATAATCTTGTAGAAATAGAGAAATTATTAATCGGTTTTTACACACAATTTTTAAATAATGAATTTGTTTACGACATTTATTGGATTTTGTTATTTACTGAATATCATTTGCATAAATAACGCACGTCATTATCATCCCAACATTAGATTAAATCTATTTTAATACGTAATTTCAGCAATAAATAATTTATTCCAATATTGCTACTTACGTGTATATATATGTGTATATGTATATATATATATATATATATATATGTATTTAAATGCATAATTATCATTGATTACAACGAGTTTATTGGTTAAATTAAGTATGCGCATATTGTTAATTTCAAAGTATAGACGTTTTTTGAGAGTCTACATCGTATGACGATTTTTCAATTGAAAAATATCACAATATAAACGAGACAAAAAACGGTTTTGCGCGAAAGATCGTTCAGTTTTGCGCGTTTCTTTCTCGCGCCGTAAAATTTTATGCTTGATAAATTTCGGACTCGTATTGCAAAAGATAGCCTTTTGGCAACGCGACGAAATTTTAATGCAACTCAACGGGAGAACAGCGCGCGCCATTAAAGACGATTTTTCCTTCGTATGTATTCAAAGGATAGAGCAATCACGTGCGCTTCGATCCATATAGCACACATCGCAATATCGTTTGACGAAAAGCCTCTATGACGAAAAGGCTTTTTTCGTGGAGTATATAAAAGGCGGACACTAAAATGGACATAAAAGGAAAAGACACGTACGCATTTATCGTATATCCCAATGGCTTGATGTGTGCCGCCACTTTTACTATATATATGATATACGCTATACTATCTCCGTAACCGGCCCACTGGTCTGGCGGTCTGAGTGCGGGAGTTGCGAACATGTGCAGAGGTCTCTGAGTTCGAATCCGCTCTTCAACACCTAAGGATTTTTTCCGGGCCCGTCCCTTTCAATCGTGTTTGTTCGATTTGAAAGACGAACTTGAATCTCTCGGGTCTCCAATAATTAATTGAGTGTATTCTCGAAGTGTCATGCGTACGGAATGACGGAGTAAGTAGCGTTTTTGTCACAATGTCTTCTTCATAATAGTACACAGAAACTGTACTTGATTTACGTTCGATTTCACACAAGATCTGTTAACCTTTCAATAATGCAATTACGATACCGTTCACGCTTCAGTAAATAAAAACTAAAAGAGAAAGCGCGATAAAGTTTTGCAAACGTGAAACGGAGATTTTATTTTGATTATTTCCATTTATTTTACATTGCGCAAAAGACTCAGATGCGCGTCACAAATCCAGGAAGAACCCTTATAAACCTTTTTATATTTAGCGGGGAGGTATATATGACATGTGACATTTGAGAGAGCATGATGTGCGTGATATTCTTTGTATCATGACATCAACTTCTTCGCGTTGCTGTCGCCGTTTCAATCGCATGTCAAGCGCAATCCTTATTAGAGTAGATCAATTCAATTAGACGAAAGAAGTTTTCGTAATGTACGCGGCGGATATAATTTGATGAAGCAATGATAACTCGACACGGAGAAAGACAAATGTGAAAGACAAAAAAAAAGAAAAAAAGAAAACAATTTTGTTGAGAACAAACAATTACATTCACAGTTCCGGGAAACTAACAAAGTTAAATTATTGACGTCAATCGGGACGTGTCATTCTAATTTCAGAGCATAAAAAATTCCATGGCAACAATCTTGATAATTAACATCGCGGTTGCTACGTGCGTCGTAAAAAATGTTAAATATATCACAAACGAGAATACTGAACGTAAATTACACGTGTAACTGATTGCGTCTAATATTATAGCCGAAGAATTGGAATTCTCTCAATGCGGCGGAATATATATTCTCTGATAAAGGGATAGTTGAATGAAATCAGAATAATCCAACTTTCCCTCAAATGTAGATTTAGCGAACTACAGTTGGAAACTTGCGGTACACGACGCCTACGTAACAAATACCATCACACGTATCAGAGCTTTGCTCTGTATTTAGTCTATTTGATGTTACTGCGATGTCAAAGCAAATATATTTTATAAAGTTACACACGTGCCGTGCTCTTAATCGAAATATATATTTTATACTCTTCTTCCATCTATTTGGGTTTTTTCTTTTGCCGTCCGTTTGAACTTTCTGTCGGTTTACTCGAGATGATCTTTGGTGTTAAACTAATGAAATTACGTCAGTAAATTTACTTGAGTTTATGAAAACCCGAGAAAAACATTTTGCACGTGTGAAAACATCCGAGAGTGTTTATCATCGGGTTCGCAGTTTTGTGATGTATCGCGGGAACAAGCTGCTACCGACACGAGCTCACGTTCTAGTCGTGAACTTGTGCGTATGTTACACGCGGACATTATCCCCGATGCATATCATCATCGATATTAATCTGTCAGAGCAACGGGATGGTAAGCAAAATTGTATTGCGATCGAAGCTGAGGTCGGTTACCTTAACTTACTCAAACGATCCCCCGTCAGCGATATAATCTTGCAATCGCGGTGCTGACAAGTGATCGATTCGAAAAGGATGAAAACCGTCATGCTATTTCCGATAACAAATCGATGGTTACTCTATTCGTGGTCACGTACTCGGGCGATCATATCAGAAAGGGCGACGTCGGTTAATGAAGGGAAGGCGTAAGCGGATGTGGGATAGAACGTGAGGTTTCTGCTTTGCGGACTTTGATCCGCATAAGTCTCTTTCCGTCTTCGTTTTGCGACCTAAAGCGATCAACTCTATCGCTCTGGAACTTTATCTCGAGACGGACAAAACTGTTGAAAATTAGCGAAGAAAGTTCAACTGAGTACTTCTCCGCGGACACAGAACCGTGTGGTTAAATTAACTCCAGCGTAATCACGGATTTTGAGTTATCGAGCTGGCGATAGCGCGCACGTAAGCAGTTAATATTCCACACAGATTACGTTCCTGTCAATCCTTTTGATTCATCGGAGTGATGGATTAAAAGTTAATGTTTTTTGGCTAACTGATTTCAAACATACACACACGCAATAATCCGTATTAGATTCGCTTCATTGAAGTGGATGTGTAGTTTCGAGATAACGTCGAGATTAAATTATCGAGTGTAACTTCCCACGCGAACCGTGTGAATGATGATCTCGTTCAGATGGAAAAAAAAAAAAATTGGAATGCAAAAAAAAAGAACGGAAAAAAAATTTACCAGGTAAAGTTCACCTGAGCCTTGTCTAGGAGTAAAAAACAGTCTCTTAAAAAAACGCTCAATCGTTATTCGGTATGACACGCCACCTGATAGTAGAGTTTCAATTTCCTGTGTGAGTTTCGTGCGTGTGTCATGTAAACTCGAGAGACTGAATAGCATAGGAGGCACGGGAAATATTTGATGCGACAGATCAATGCGCGTAGAATATCATTCTCGAGAGAGTTACACTAGAGAGTTAACAAAAAAGTATATAAATATATATCCTGTTCATACATGTATTTTTATTTACATTATATATTGTATGTTTTTATTTAAATATAAATTAATTAAAATATTATCGGTTTTTATAATATTTATAACGTTGATGTGTTATATGATTCCAGTTTATCCTAATATTTATTATTTAAATTATTCCGTTTTATTGATAGTGGATTTTATGGATAGTTATTGTTGTCTTTCTTATTTGTTTTTTAATTAAGATTAAACGTGCTTTTGGAACAATGCAATCGCGACTGAAATAAAAATAAAATGTGATTATTTATATAATTTATTACTTTTGTTTTTTTTTTTTATAGTTGTATGCTGCATTGTCGTTCGGAAACTCGCTTTTATACTCCGTGACATCTAAAGTAACGCACCTAAGAAAATTACGTACGTGAATTCCACCTGAGCTCGTGGCACAGATGGGACGTGAGAGAAGTTTTTCACATGATAACGCCGTGTAGTATCTGGTATGTACAAGAAAACCCATGGATCGCCAGCGGTTATTTGCATACTCCGGAAAATTCGCATGCATTTCGTGTACCCATCGACAATTCAGTCGACGGAATTGAGACGTGGCATGGGAGGTGAATATTTAAATATTGTATGTGCATTCTTTGATGTTGCGCGCGCGAAGCAATTTTCCGCAATTTTCACGATCGCGCATTTATATATTCGGAATTTAAAGTAGTCTCTGATAATTTATTCCATATGCATAATTTAAACTTATGCGGGATAACTAAAATATATATTCCTTCGTTTTCGCTTCCAATCCGCACGACGAACGAGAGCGGGAGCGTAAAATTATTTAGGTTCTTTTAATAGAGCAGAAAATTGAGAGATCTCCAACAGAGAGAATAATAATTTGCATTACATAAATCTTCGATAAAATACAAAATGTGAAATTTC